CATTGCACAAAACAAAAAAATATGCTGGAACGGTCTCCCTGGTACATAAATATTATAGCCCAGACGTTACTCCACTAACGAGTCTAAGGATATATAATGTCTTTATTGACGAGCGCGGGCGAGGACAACCCATAACCTTAAATTCCTGAAACGACATAACCATATCAATTTAGTGACGCAGGGTACGTCCGGCAGTATCCCGCCTGGGACACTAGACCCACTAATTGAGCATAAAGAAGTAGCACATCCGACAAATGTCAATCGACTGTGCGGCGGGGCCTTGGGGCGTAGCCCTGTATGTATGAGGCTTAACGCGAGCCTGTTCATACACCAGCGTGACACAGGGCCCCCTCGTTCGTCCGTGCGACTACAATTCTCACACATGCGACCCACTATGTCTCCGTCTCTCTCTCACAGCGGTCGGAGTCGCGGTGTCATTGTCGGCACGCACACTCATGCCCGCATCTCCGTCTCCCCCTCCTACGACACAGAGCGGCAACCGGCACACCAACATCATCTCAACAACGCATGTCCCCACTGGTCATCTCCTGCTCACAGCACACAGCGGGGTGCAGCACTCGCTCCCGCCCTCCCTCACCACACACGCACGCACATCTGCCACACCTCTCACACTATGCACTCACTGTCTTCTTCAAACACGACGACACACACTCTCGCTCTCCTCCCTCACACACACACGTGCCGCAACTACACACATTCTCACAACATGGCACGCACTTCCTCTCAAAAGCACACACACCACACTCTTCGCTCTCTCTCCGTCACCCACACACCACACCAGACACTCTCTCTCTCTCTCGTCTCCTCTCATCTCTCACACACACACACACACAGCTAGGCCATCCGGCTCTGCGAGGGTCGGTCACACAACACTGCTCTTCTCTCGTCGTCTCTTTCCTCTCGTCATCGTCTCTCTCTCTCTGTCTCTCTCTCGTAAATCTCTTCTCCTCTCTCGTCTCCTCTCTCTGCTCTCTCCTTCTCTCCCTCTCTCCCTCTCTCCTCTCTCGTCTCGCTCTTCAGTCTCTCACACACAACAGCGCTGCGGGCGCGAGTGTGCCCATACACAGTCCACGAAAGACTAGGACACAAAGTCGGACGAACGTCTTCACCGAGTAAAAGGCGCTGCATCTGCTGGGTGGTGTCTGGTGCCTCTCTCTCTTCCCGGATTTCGCTCCTCTCTCTCGTTCCGTCGTCTCTTCTCTCCTCTCTCCTCTGTCCTCCTCTCGGTCCCTTCGCTCTTCTCTTCCTTCGGGTCTCTCTACTCTCTCTCTCGTCTCTCTCTCTTCTCTCTCTCACACACACACACACACTCTCGCCTCTATCTCTCTCTCAACACATCAGCACACACACACCTCTCCGCTCTCCTCTCCTCTCTCTTCTCTCGCTCTCCTCTTCTCTCATCATCCATCATCACATCCTTTAGCATTATCGTGTCGTTGACAAGATTACTCCAATCAGGACAAACACGTGCCACTATAAAGTCACATACAGGCCACTTTTCGCCCCAGTGGCGGCACGGCTGTAGGGAGTGGCCTTTCGTGTCTGTTTGCCCACGCAGCACTCTACTAAGTTGGCGCCACGTCGGCGACCAGGCCGCCAGATCCAGAATTGCCATGGGAACGGCTCGGTCTCTCGCAGCTTCAGCCGCTCGACCTTCGTTGCTGTCATGGTAACTGGTGCTGGGTGTTTGTGCTATGATCTGCTCATCGGAAAAAATCGTACGTTTTTACGTATCTAAGGCCACAGTTTACAAAAATTCTTTGTTTGCCTTCACCCGACCCCATGGCCTGACAGGTTTGGGTAGGTCAGGCTAGGCTTTTTTTGAGTGCCAGCGGATCTTCTTTAAGAACAAAAAATTCCAAGTCTGGTGTCTACATGCTCGGGTGTCCTTTGTCGAGATCGCCTATTATGTTGAATGTTTGTTTTCGCTTGGTACATCTACAGTACTTGGCCTAACCGATTTATATAATTGTACAGTGATAACAATTTTGTTAAATAAGACAAGGTGCCGCATAGCGCAGCGGTCATCTAACGTCTACTGCGTGACATCTGTGTGGGTGGGGATTCTAGTAAACCCTGTAGTCGAAAAATGGACAAAATTGACTCCTCACTACTACACGCCGAACCAGTGGAATGCACGGATGGTATTCAGGAACTCTTCCAACAAGAATGTTCGTTGGGAATCCGTTCAATGAAAGTCTGCCACGTAAGGCGCGTACGTTAAGTGTCCTCAGATTAAAGATGGAGCTCCATCATACTTAGCTAACCAACAACTATTTGCAAGAGCAGAATAGGTTAAGACTCATCCATTACGCTAACGCAAGCCTTACAGGCTGCGCAATAGAGAGCTGCCACCCTGGTAACGCCATAAGGGCAAAAAACCCAGCATATACCGGACCAACTGCCGATGCACATTGGCTCAGTAGGCCACTGGCAGTGGCAACATTACATGTAAGCATAACTGACCACTCTTAACAGAATGCCATAATAAATTATAGCTATTTAAAGAGCATAAACTTCTTTAACCATTAGCTTTGAAATTTCATGTGACATTGTTAGTCCTCATACATGCCAGGGCAATGTATAGATTCTACTAAGCAAACGCCGCAGTCATAATTCTTTCTAGCAGTAAACAAATCCATGTTTAACCCGCCTCCTCTTTGAGGGTCAAAGGTATACCAAACACTTACTCTTCGCTGTCAGCAGAAGGACATTCAATGGTCCTTTTCAATAAAGCATAAAAATGCTACGTTCACGCTGAAACAAAAAGTTTTTCAGAACTCGGTCCGTCCAGACCAAAATGTCCTAGAAATGTTTCTAAAATCTGCGGCCCTGTGCCCTTTGACGCTGTGATCCTCCAATTTCGCCACAGTGATGCTTTTCCGTACATGACTGCAATACCCCGACTATCACGAGCCTAGTCGACGCCGTTTAGATTTTGTCGCTGGCAATATTCTGCAATTTCCTCGACCTATACCTAAAGTTAAGGAGTGAATGTTTCCGCCTCTTTACACCTCTTGGACCTTTGAGCCTTTGACCCCCAGCTTCGACCGCCCAACCTCGTTTTGAGCGAATGCCGCCCCCCATGTGCGAATATCGGACCGTAGTCGAGCGTTGAAGACTTGTCGGCCCAACTGTTGACCGGACGGACGACGGTACGGACGACGACGATCAAGCGATCTACAGCTGCAACTCTGACCTATGTCAAATGGCTAAACAAGAAAAATTATCAAATAACATTTTTTACGTCGGGGGGGGGGCTTGTAGCGGGTCGTCAGGGTCTGGGCAAAGCAACAATATTTTTATTATCTGCAAACCATTATAACGCAAGCTTGTGAATCCAGTTGTCGAAAATGCATGACCCACATCAAATGCTTAACAGCTATGTCGTCATAGCATCAACACGCGTGCCAAGTCAGAATGAGTTTCCCAGCATGTAAAGTGATTATGTCACGTAAATAATAAAAAATTAAAAAAAAACATTCACTTTTTCTCACCAAAATTAAGCTAATGTCTGTTGACATTTTATGGTTTAATTTGCTGTCTCATTATCACTTCCTGTTTTCATCCTATAATTTCTCGATGACATACACTCGTGACTCAATACATTAGCCTCACAAGCAGAAGTTTAAGATAGCAGCCCACCGGGATTCTATTTACGCGACTGATGTATTTAATTATTGGAATAATTCAATTCGATTTTCCGCTTTGGTCCACGTCCACATTCTTTTATTTTTATTCCAATACTTTATAGTTAATAAACAAATATTAAATCGCGATATTGACGCAGTGTGCGACTATTCCTCGAGACCCGCGATCAACCATAAGTTTTGAACAGCATGCCGGAGCCGCCCAGTTGTCCGGTGCGCACCTACCCCTCCGAGACGCATAGGCTCTTCCTCGAACACCGCTGGCCGCCACGTCGAAAGGGTGACATGCACGGTGGGCGCACGTGCGATTCGCCTCGACGTAGCTGGACTCCGGGTCCGCCACCTTAGAGTAGATCGTCAGCACGACGATGTGTCGCCGTCTGGTGCCAGTCGTAGCGGCACGCGACCGCCGTCTGCGTCGACGCACCCTGCGGGAAAGACGACGGGAGAGTGAGGAGGACGGAAGTATCCCTCACGAAGGGAAGATGACGAGAGAGTGAGAAGTGGCAGGTGATCCCTCGTACGGGTCAGTTTGCTGCCTGCAAGGGCATTTGCTGCTCTGCAAGGTCCCTTTGCTGCTACAAGGGTCAGTTGCTGCCTAACATCAAGGGTCAGTTTGCCCTAACAAGAGGTCAGTTTGGTGGCTGCAAGGGTCCAGCTTTGCCTGGGCTTACACAGTGTTAGTTACTGCCTACAAGGGTCCAGTTTGGCTGCTAGCAAGGGTCCAGTTTGCTGGCCGATGCAAAGGTCAGTTTTGCTGCCTGCAACAGGGTCCGTTTGCTGCGCCTGCAAGGGTCAGTGCTGCTTACAAGGTCAGATTTGCTGCCTACAAAGTCAGTTTGCTGCTAGCAAGGGTCAGTTTGCTGCCTGCTTCAATGGCAGCTAAGCAATTCTTGCCCAACTAAGATTCCTAATAAAGCCCACAGCAAAAGCACCAAAGATTTCCGCCTGGGTGGAGTGGCGAGTAAATTTGCTGCCTGCCTTTATCTCTTGCACCAGCTACTTGCTGCGTAAGAAAAAACAAATTGACGTCTAACCCCGAGTAGTATCGTGGGATCGGCTACACTTCAACATAGGGACCCCGGTCGCGCATCGAAGCAGCGCCACCTACCTGCTTCTTCACCCAGACGTGTGAGCCGAGGTCGCAGCCCTCCTGCTTGAGAAAGTTGTCAAAGTCGGAGGTCTTGCGCTGGCAACAGCTCCAGTACTTCATGCTGAAAGCAAAACGACATCGGTTCAAAACATCATGTAAACATTAAACTACAAAACTATCGAACATCGTGAGTGATTCATTTTCCCGCGGCCCGGCTTGTTGACAATGCCAATCGCCTTTGTCAATGCTTCCTCATTGGAATGCAAGTAAGCCAAAACCAAAGCCAAGTCAAATGCTCATTTTTTTCATCTTTTTTATCAAAATGTTAAAAAAAATTGCAAATTTGTTCAAAATGTTACCAAAACGTTCACCTACAAGACAACTACACCCAGTTAAGTAAAAGCCATTTAAACGTGTAAAAAATATAAATATATATATATCTGTATATCAGAAGTAGATAATAGGGAAGAAGTGTGACTTCAATAAACAAGGGAAATTCGTCATTTACTAGCCTTAGAATACCTACGACTTACTACGCGTAACTCAACAAACTTGAGCTCAAATCGTACACAGTACATTCGCCTAGCATTGTGCAAAATCATTTCCTCGTATACACCCGCAATCCGGAGATACAGACTAAGACGTACGACACGATTATCCATTCTGTTGCCAGCAAACCGAATGTATAGCCTGCCTAACTTGAAACAAAAAGCAGCTACTAACGACTCTTGCGCACTCTTGTGCCCTCGGCGATGCGGTGTGGCTCGCTGTGAGATTGGAGCTGGAGCTGCTGCTGATTGCGGTGGGCGTGCCTGCGTGGGGGGGCATACCAGCTGTAAATAGGTCCAAGATTACCTCGCCGAGTGTTGCGTCGATGTCCAATCTCCCAGCGAGCCACACCGCATCGCCAAGGAAGCAAGAGTGCGCAAGAGTCGTTAGTAGCTGCCTTTTGTTTCAAGTTAGGCGGGCTATGAATTCGGTTTTCTGGCAACTGAATGGATAATCGTGTCGTACGTTTTAGTCTGTATCTCCGGATTGCGGGTGTATACGAGGAAATGATTTCGCACGATGCTAGGCGAATGTACTGTGTACGATTTGAGCTCAAGTTGGTTGAGTTATGCGTAGTAAATCGTAGGTATTCTAAGGCTAGTAAATGATGAATTTCCCTTGTTTATTGAAGTCACGCTCCTTCCCTATTATCTACTTCTGATATATATATATATATACAAAATTTATTGTGAGCATAGGCAGATAAGAGGAAATTTGGGGAAAAAGTTTTGAATAAAATAACCTTAATTTCAATATAACATCGATTGATTTACTCCTCCATTTTACCCGCATGGACAATAAGTTAATAACTGCATGACCGAGTTCGGAACTGCTTCCTGATGTAGTATTGGATTCCAAATTCTGTATGACAGTTCCACACCTCCCTCTTTCCTTCCCTATCTCTAATCCAAACCTCCCTCTTTCCTTCCCTATCTCTGATCCACACCTCCCTCCTCCCCTCCCTTTCTCTGATCCACACCTCCCTCCTTCCCTCCCTTTCTCTGATCCACACCTCCCTCCTTTCCCACACCTTTCTCTGATGCCAAACCTCCGCTCTTTCCTCCCTTTTCTCATGATCCACACCATCCGGCTCCCTTTCTCTGATCCACACCTCCCACCTTCCTTCCCTTTTCTCTGATCCACCACCTCCCTCGCCTTTTCTCTGCATCCAAACCTCCTCCTTCCCTCCCATTTCTCTCGAGATCCACACCTCCGCTCCTTCCCTCCCCTTTCTCTGATCCACACCTCCATCCTTCGCCGCTCCGCTTACTGCTGATCCACCCTCCCTCCTTCCCTCCGCTTTCTCTGATCCCAAACTCTCCCTCCTTCCCTCCCTTTCTCTTGATCCAAACGCTCCCTCCTTCTCCTCCCTTTCTCTGATTGCTTACACCTCCCTCCTTACCTCCCTTTCTCGGTGATTCACACCGAGTCCCTCTTTCCTTCCTTTTCTCTGATCCAGCACCGTCCCTCCATTCCGCGTCTAGCTCTGATCGCAAACCTCCGCTCCTTCCCTCCGCTATTCTCTGATCCCACAACCTGCCTCCTTCACCTCCCTTTCTCTGATCCAAACCTCGCCTCTTCCTTCCCTATCTCTGAGTCCAAACCTCCCTCCTTCCTCCCTTTCTCTGATCCACAGCTCTCCCTCGCATCCCTCCCTTTCTCTGATCCACACCTCGCCTCCTTCCGTCCCTATCTCTGATTCACACCTCCTCCCCTCCCCCTTTCTCTGATCCCACACCTCCCTCCCTTTCTCTGATCCACACCTCCCACCTTCCCTCCCTCTCCCTTATTACATCCTACTCACCCCTCGTGAAAAATGGGCACACCTGGATGAAGACACACGTATCTTGTGCTGCTGTACATTCCGGAGTAGGTCTGAAAACATTAAGGCAGGTCAGCTACTAGGGCTGTAACGATACACAAGCCTCTCGATTCAATCCGGTTCTCGATATTAGCCTCTCGATTCGATTCCTTCGATTCGAATTCCCAAAATATGTGAAATGTCATCTTGTTTTTTATATTTTCATTATTTTGCAATAATAAATTATTAGAAATTGCCAATGATACTAATGGTGAATAGACTAGAGAGTCTAGAGAGTATATATACACTGCACAGGGAGAGTAACATTGGTGAGTAACACTCTACAGTATATAGCGTAGTGCCGCCATCTATTGGAGGGGAAAAGTTGTCTCGAAGTGGAACCGAAAATACGGGGAAAATATCGAGGATCGGATCCAGAGAGACCGGTACGAGATGGCGTTGCGCGCAAAAGATGCGTTATGTTCCCGACCGCCGAGAGCGGTTAAGCCGCGCACTTCCGCGGGACTGGGCGCACGCGACCGCGCCGTGGTTGTATGTAGCATTTCGCGCGGTGCCCGCTGATACGAATTCGCGCGCCGAAGGGGGCGGCGCGACGCGAATCCGTATAGCGGGAAGCGTAACATCGCGCAGTTTCGTCAACACCTACACCGGCTCGGCTACGGCGGGGATTTGCCGCTGCTGCTTGCTTGTTGCGCGCTGCGCGGGCAGGGGGCGAGTATTTGTTGCTGCGGCTGCTTTGCCAGCAGTATCTACAGATTAGCTACGTGTAAAAACTGGCACGGCCATGCCACCACGTGCTCGCAGTATTCGCCGGCCAGCGAAATTTTTTGGCGCAAACGGTATAACATAGCAAAGAATATAGCGCCTTGTGATTGGTTGCTTCGATTTGCTTTGCCATTGACAAGAGAACAAACGCGCATTTTAGTGCGTTCGATTTGCTTCCCCAAGTTAACCTGCGGTCTACCGGCCAGCCCCAATACGTTCGATTTGGCAGTCACGTGGTATTTTTCGTTACCCGGGTCAACCCGGGTGAGAATGAAGTGAGCGGCTCGCCGAGGTGCCACTTGGGGGGGGGGAAGTATCCCACAATCCATTGCAACCATGCACCATGCATGGCGACGATATCATTGCGGGATCAGTGTGCGGGATTCTTTCTGCAAATGTGTTATTTTCATCTCAATGTTAAGTATGAGAGGGTCTGGGGCTCTCGTAATATTGCATTACGTACGTATGTACACGCACTCATAGTGCTTCGTCGCAGGATCGACGGAAGGAGCGAAGGGCTACGACAGTACTAACTACAGCTACGACGGTACTATAGTACTAGGGCTACGACAGTACTAGAGCCTATACCGTACTCGTACTCGTTGACGCTAGTAGTAGTAATTAACTAGTACGTTAGTGAGTCCGTAGTAGTAGCCTAGTGTTTAACCCTGAGGTCAGCTGAAACGTAAACTAATCGGACCACGGCACGAACATAAACAGAAATTCGGCAGCTATAACTATAAGCCTAGAGTTACGACGGTAGACCCTCTCATAACTTAAGATTAAGATGAAAATAACAGATTTGCACAAAGAATTGCAATTATAGTAATATTATATGTTATAATAATGAGTAAAATATGTGTCTTTCATGGAAAATACATCAGAAAACTTATACTTATCTATAGCGGTCATAAACGAAAACAAACATTTTACAACACGGTGTTTGTTCTCTTTGTTGAAGGTTTTCTTCAGCAAAGCAACAGTGAAGAAACGGCATGATATTTGGGTTAATCACTGAAACTTCATGTGTTTTAAAGAAAACATACTAAAAACTACTTTAACCTCACTTACAGAAAGGTTCGGGAAAAGTTTGGTAGATAATCTGGGATTTTGGCTAACAAGTCATGGGAGGCTGACATCTTGCCAAATTCCAGCCATCAGAAGGCGCGCTAAATCCTTCGTAAATCGCTTCCGTTTGGCGGAAAAAACATTTCGCCGCCGCCACGCCAGCCGACGACGTGCCGTTGCACGGGCAGCGCGGGGTCAGGAGGTTGCTGAAAACTTGGCAGCACGCAGCCAAGCTAGGCGCCGTAACGGCGGCATGGCATTTGCAGATAGCATGTAGGCCGCACCACCCCACGTGCCAGCGCGCGTACGACACTTCCGTAAAAACTCTGTGATAGACATAACGCTATACTCCGGCACTAGCGCCCGTCATCGGCGTAGAGGCCAACGCAGCGAGCGCCGTCATCGCTGATGACAGCATTTCTTTGAGATTTCTTGTAGAGAGTCACTAGCGTCTTAGCCATGGAGGCGCGCCACCCCAAAAAAAGCTTAGGGCCGTTTGAGATGGCCTCCTGCCGTCCATCGCGAAATGTCGGTTGGATTGCGCCCGAGTTTTCGCGTAGTGCGTTTTCAGACCCCTGTCCTCACATATTCTCTCTATGGACAGATAAGAGGGGGCGGCGTATTCGCGTTGGGGCGTGGCTTCGCCGCGAGCCGTGCGCTTCGCGCAAAAACCGGGGCCGCAAGTCCGTCGAGAGAAGAGAATCGCGATCCGATTCGATTTCGGTGGATCGTTACAGCCCTAACAGTTACTGACATATACCAACGACGTGGAAAACCATAACACAAGCAACGACGTAATTGATTGAGAGAGCGAGAGACAGCTGGAGAGAGGAAGAAAGGGAGAGCAAGAGGAAGGGAGAGAAACAGATAGAGAGAGGGCAGGCAGGCAGGCATGCAGGCAGCCAGACAAGCAGACAAACAGACAGGCAGGCAGACAGATCAAAACATAGATAGATAGGATATAAATTACAAGGAAGTAGCTAAAGAATAAAAAAGAAATTAAGAATAAAGAAATAAAAAAGAATAAAAAAGAATAAAAAAGAATAAGGCAATAAGGAATAAGGAAATAATAAGGAATAAGGAATAATAATAAGGATAAATAATGAAAATAATGAAATAAAAATAAAAATAAAAATAATGAAATAAGGATGAATAATAATAAGGATAAATAATAAGGAATAAGGAAGAAAAAGAATAATAAAAAAGAATAAGGAAGAAATAAAGAAGCTAGAAACACAGTACTAATATACACAGGACCAGACTAGAATCTAGATACGGACTACGTACCGCGTGGCAGGTGTTGTTCTTGCAGCTGGTTCCCACGACAACCTTCGCAGTGTCGACGTTTTCTGGAAAAACAAGCGCCGCAAGGTCACCGCAAAGGTCACGCACCTGCACCTGCGCCCACACAACATACGGAGGCTCATCACCATGACAACACGCGCCCAGCTGCCTTTCTCCGTACGCACCTTTGTCGCCGCCGCCTTCTTTCGCGATGCTTAGTTCCTCTAGATCCCTGGAGAGGGCGCTCTTCAGCGTAGCGGCGACCGTCACCGGGAGGCGCTGCATCGGTTCGTCCTCAGGCGGGGGCTGCAGTCGCGTCAGCGGCTTCGGACACTCCGACACAATGACCTGTGGGGTCGGAGGTCACCGAAAGGTCACGGCGACGACGCTTGGTTAAGCGTTCCTCGCCGCGTTCGATTTGACCGCGTTTCGCGGAGACCCGACGCTTTTAAAGATCGCGCTTTAAAATTTTAAATCTTGAAGCTCTATTAATTTATTTTTAATCTTCTTAAAAATTCTAATTAATTTTAAATCTAATTAAAAATACCTCATCTTTGTCGCCGGCATCCGTCTGCTGCTTTCCCGGCTCCACAGGTTTGATGTTGCTATGGAAATCATTCGTGCACCCCTGCAGAGATGCGTACAGGTATACGTGTAAGGTGAGGATCTTTTAGACAAACAACTCGGAGCGATCTGAAATTATCTTTTCAGTTCATTTCTGCTTCCTTCAGAATTCATCAATTGTCATTCATGTGTTCCATAGATTTGTTGACATAGAAGTTAAGTTATCTTTTCAGTTCTTTTCAGTTCATTTCTGTTTCCTTCCGAATTCATCGATTTTCATTTCATGCCTTCCGTAAATTTTTTAACATAAAAATTTCTAACCCCGCACGTGTAATATCTAGGTTGACTTTTGACCTACCGGAATGTTGAGGAACTCTGTAAAGTCAGTGACTTTCTTGTTGCAGCATCCCCAACCCTTGTAAGCGTCGTGGAAGACGGGCAAGCCAGGGTGGTGCTTGCATGACTCTAACGGAACAAGCATAAAAGAGAATAAAGTTTATCTCAGTTAGATCCAAAATAATTATGGATTTTATTCTGTTTTCTGTTTTCAATATTACTTTGGATCTAACTAAGAAAAACTTTATTTTCATGTGAACTATAGAGATCCAATGAAATGATTCAATCAAGTATAAAAGGGCATTCACACAACTTTCAATTTGATGTTCATGAATGGTAAGTATTAACAAATATAATCATTATAATAATAAGAATAATAAGAAGAAAAAGAAGAAGAATAAGAATAAGAAGAAGAATAAGAAGAAGAAGAAGAGGAAGAGGAAGAAGAAGATGAAACAGAAGAACAAAAACAAGAACAACAACAACAACAACAACAACAACAACAACAACAACTACACCAGGGCGGGAATCTATCAAATTGAAAAGCGAAAATAGCTAACAAAGAAAACTCAAACAATACTAGCTACAGCTGCTCCCCCACATGGCTTATACTCACTCTCACTGTTTGTTGTTGGGTCAAACTTGCATCCGCATCCTTTGTTGTAACACTGAAGCCAGTTGGCTTCGTCTGAAGCTGGAGCAGACGTCATCACAGCAGCTGCACAGATCTGCAGAAATTTCCTTATTGTTATTTCATGTATTTATTTAGGTAATCATCCATATTATATATCATGGCGCTCTCGCTCATGGGCTCAATCTACTGTCTCCTGGCTATATCCTACAGGCTGAATCCTACAGGCTGTATCCTGAGTAAGCGAAGGGGCACTGCATGCAGTTTGCATATTACGCTGAAATACTACGGTTATCACAACGGCAGTTTAGACAGACTTGTAAACGGGAGCGCATAATACGACCCGTTCCTCAACGTAGACGGGGTATCCAAAACATCTAGAGCTGCATGAACTCCCTCAACGCATGATTCGCCACACGAACAAAAACTCGCGACAGTCTAAGAAATCGATTGCGGCATCGCCGGCATGTAGTAGTGCAGCCCAGTGTTTTTCTGACCGCATAACAATCAGTTTTTATATCGCAGGGGTTACCGTGGGGAGTGAGGGCACGACCAGTGACACCTGACACGCACGTAATCAAAGCTGTTAACTGAATTCGTCACTTTTCTTAACGTCGAAAAAAAAAGTCAGTTTTCTTAAAGTGGACTGTTTTTATTCAGTTAGATATCTAGAAGCAATGTGAACTGTATATACTTAAAGATTCTAGGCACTTGTAACTTTGCGGATGTGCGGCAGCATTGATCTATGCATGGGGGTACCGTGGACTGGGGAGGAGAAAAACGAAAGGAAAACCTTACCCAGAAGCTCCCCCGACATTCCTAGAGATTGAAACATTATTTGGCCAACTCTAATTAAGTTACATGTATGCTGTTTGAATGCTAATGGTTATCTTTATATACTATTTTGTTACTCACTGCACTAGTAAATAAGCGGACCACCAAATTTTTGTGCAGGTCCACCAACTTTCTGAAGTTGGTGGTCCTGCTGTCCACTAGATTTTCAGCCGAAATTCGAATCCTGACGAGAGCTCGACAATCCCGCTTGCCCGATGGCCCGGGGCAACCAAAATTCGCCCCCAGGCAAGTAGCTTGAAATTGCACTTGCCTGTTCGGGCAAGCAAGTTTTTTTTATTGAATGGCTAGACATAATGAGATTTTTCTGTTTCCACCCGTTCCTTGCATTGTTTTGCACAGACATAA